GGCATGAATCGAGATCCTAAATTCATGTCTCTTCGTCTATATCTAAACGCTCACTCGATTTACTAAACATCCTAAAACGAGCAAACGAACAAGGCGATACACTAAGGGAAAAAGGAATGCGAGACGACAACTCGCGGACCTCCCTCAACATCAACTCATATTCTTCCCGCTACATTCATACGAATAAAAACACGCTCTTAAAAAACGCAAACTGATTTTTAATAAAGCCGCAAAAGAGGCAGGGACTCAGAGCCGCACACGGCCAGTCCAAAAACTATAACGGCCACGCTCGGCCAGACCAAACGGCCTACGAGGCCAGTGTCAAGGCCGGCAAAGGTCCGGATGCCATCGACATCAATATGCTCGATAATTCCTACACGACATATAACTAGACCGTAAAGGTCTTGCTAGGAAACAGGTCATACAAACCTTAATTCTGAAACGAACTACGAAAGGCTTGATCCCCTCAAAAGGGTACGTAGGCAGCCTTCACAAGGCGCAGCCCTAATCTTAAACGCTTTCCGCTCCCTGGAGAGTGGAAAGATCACTTTCAATGGACCTTTCCAACCACTAATTCCGCCTAACTTAACTTAAATTGGCTAACCACTCGCAAGAACCTTATGCTAAAGGCTCAAGATTCTAGCGAGCTGGGGGCTAACTATTGGTGTCAAAATCGGTCACAACGGAATCAATGGCAAAAAGTCTCCGCAGAAAATATAAAAGAAATCGTTTTATAAAACTCAAGAATCGTTTTATAAAACTCAAGAATCGTTTTATAAAACTCGAAAAATCGTTTTATAAAACTCGAAGAATCGTTTTATATAACTCGAAGAATCGTTTTATAAAACTCGAGAATCGTTTTATATAACTCGAAGAATCGTTTTATAAAACTCGAGAATCGTTTTACAAAACTCAAGAATCGTTATATAAAACTCGAAGAATAGTTTTATAAAGCTCGAGAATCATTTTATAAAACTTGAAGAATCGTTTAATAAAACTCGAGAATCGTTTTTAAAACTCGAAGAATCATTTTATAAAACTCGAGAATCATTTTATAAAAATCGAAGAATCGTTTTATGAAACTCGAGAATCGTTTTATAAAACTCGAGAATCGTTTTATAAAACTCGAGAATCGTTTTATAAAACTCGAAGAATCGTTTTATAAAACTCGAGAACCGTTTTATAAAACTCGAGAATCATTTTATAAAACTCGAGAATCGTTTTATAAAACTCGAGAATCTTTTTATAAAACTCGCGAATCGTTTTATTAAACTCGAAGAATCATTTTATAAAACTCGAGAATCGTTTTATAAAACTCGAGAATCGTTTTATAAAACTCGAGAATCGTTTTATAAAACTCGAGAATCGTTTTATAAAACTCGGGAATCGTTTTTATAAAACTCGAGAATCATTTTATAAAATTCGAGAATCGTTTTATAAAACTCGAAGATCGTTTTATAAAACTTGAAGATCGATTTATAAAACTCGAAGATCGTTTTATAAAACTCGAGAATTGGTTTACAAAATCGCGAAAAACCGAAACCGCCGCAAAACGCGAACTAGTCACGACTAGTTCGCCTGCTGGCGAACTAGGAGCCTCTCTGCTAGTTCGCCTGCTGGCCCACAGGTTCTTATCGCCTAGTTCGCCATATGGCGACCTGGCCAAGCTGAACTAGCTCGCCTTACGTCGAGCCGACCATCCCGAGCCTCGATCTCCCACATCCTTGATTCAAGGTATACGTCCTTCGCCACGATCGTATTCCGAATCACGGTCGAAATGTCTCCCGTTTCGTCTCGATCCGTCCTATCGTTCGAGTTTTACGATAAAAACCGTAAAACTTTTTTTTCTCGAGAAGAACTCGAGGAAATCGTGTAAAACGGAAACGGTTAAACGAAACACCGAATGTTGCCTAAACTATACGATTTATTATAGATTTTTTGTAAAAATCGTACAAAACGCGTTTTTAATAAAACCCCGAGTAAATCGTAGAAAACGGCAACGATTAATCGAAACATCGAACATTGCTTAGCTTTACGATTAACTCGAGAAACTTATCTAAAAACGGCATCGTATCAGGAAACGAACTCGTCTAAAGTCGTAAAACAGATTTATCACAAAACGCCTCGGAAAGTCATAAAACGCGATAAAAGCCACTCGCGACTTTAAACGAAGTCCAACCCCAAGATACGACAACGTTTTGGCGATTTACTCGTAGAAAGAAGATAAATGTCGAACTTGAAGACAAATGTCAAGTTTGAGGATAAACAGAAGATTTCCGCGGAAAAAAGGAAAGATCGAGATAAATGGAAGATTTCCATTAAACTCGAATCTGGGCGAAATGGAAAGACTAAACCGCCTAGGAAGGGAGTATATAAGCAAGAGGCATAGGGCAGAAGCATGGGGACGAATTTCAGAGCTCTCATCTGAGACTTTTACAACTTTTCTAGACTTAGAATTTTCCGCACTTAGAAACTTATGCTTTTTCCCGACAAGTTCGGTTTCTATGACTGGCGCTTAATTACTAGACGAACTCGCCCAGGCAGTTTGATCTCTGGTCCAGCTCTATCAACTGAACTACGTTCGACTTGATTCCCGAAAGGGGTACGTATGCAGCCTTTCATAAGGTTCAGTCCAAAATCAATCAAACCTTTTTTCCTATCTCTTTCCGTCTTTCGTTATCAAGCTGTGACTCGACTAGATCTAGGGTTTTATGTTTGTAACTCGCTGATGGCCCCTGCGGACAAAGCCTTTGTAATTCCTTGCAATGATCGCAACGCTCTTACGCGAATCGGAAATAAGATCGACTTTCTTTATAGATTCGTTTTATTGCGTTTTTCATATTTTTCCGCATTTATTTGGTTACTTGTCGTTGGCTTTCGCAGAGATCCGGTTCCTCTGGGAAATTAGGGTTTTCCTAAGTTTCCTTATTTAACGGAAATCGACAAGTGTGAATCTCGGTTCCCACACACATTTTAGTTCCGACTAAAAGAGTCACAGGAATTCCACCGAACTTAAAAGGGGCATATTAGCTGGATCGGACCCTAAGGGGCACCTCGATCCTGGCGAACCCTACATCTACGGGACCAGGTCCCAAGGGACACCTCCCATCTACCTGACATATTTCACATATAAAAACACTTGGGTATGCGAATTGGAACAGGCTTGATCAACCTTAATACAATGTCGACAATACCTCAGCCCCTGCGTAGAAGCCTTAAGCCGTATTCTACAAGGGGGCCACACGTACTAGTGCATTAATCCCTGCATCAAACACGCCCTGAGCTAAACGAGATGCAGGGGGCATGGCGTATCACTGCAGAGTACTGAGATCAGCCCCATCGTACGGTGCACAAAACCCCGGGAGCACTTCTATCCTACTTATCCAGACGTGGAAAGTAGCAAGTCTGGTACGTGGCTCACTACTTCCTAGTATACCCACCCTAGCACAAACATATAAGACTGAGAGTGGCTTTCTGCAGAAGGCAGAGTGCAGCTTTACAAGATCTCGATAGTGGCCTAAGTGGCAGAATGCGAATCCTTACCCGGATCGGTACTGGCCCACCTAAGGGAGCAGAATACGATCCTGATGACAACAAGCCTCCGGGCCCCAAATGTTCAAAATTCCAAATTTTACATTCTCTCCGGATATCGGTAGTGGCCTACCTAAGGGAGGCAGAATACAATCTCAAAGATAGCGGCCTCAGGGTCTGACCCCAGGGTCTGCCATGTTAAAAATCCCGAATTTTACATCTCTTGTCTACCCGCCTCCGAGCCCAGGTCAAGCACCTTAAAATCTATTCAGGAAACCTCAGGGTTCCGAGCAAACTTCTATGTGATACAGGAAAGACCCCAGGGTCCCAAGCAACTGACTTGAACTTTTAAACTCCAATACCTAACCTCAGGGTTAAATTATGAGCTTCTGAGTTCCCAGTGTTCAAAATCTTGAATTTTACACTTCCGGCCCCCGAACCCAGCTAAGAGACCTCAGAGCCTAAACCTTCGAGCCAAAACGCTTGGTCATCGGGCTAAATCAAAATATCCAAGCCCATGCGACAAGCCCATCAATTTGGAGCTACGAGTTCCCACTTCCGCGAAGGACTCTCATGTCTCCATAATGCACGGTCCAACCAAAGATCTCAAAAATCTAAGCGAAGAATCCTACGAGACCCCCGGGTCCTAAGTGTCGAAGACTGCAAGTCTTACACTTCGTTTCCCGCATGAGCTTCAAATCCAGGACAAGACCCTAGGGCACCCATTCCGAAGAATGATCAACGAGTCCCTATAAAAACAGCTTTGTGGGAACTATAAGGACAAGGGAAATCCTCAAACCCCTTAAAGTTCTCTATCACCTCTCAGGAAGGATCCAAGTGTCCTCCCTCAAAATTACTTAACCACTTGAAAAAAGAAGACATGAAATCATGCCAGGAATATAGAAGCAAAACGCAAGATTTTTAAAGAAAAACGGGGATTATTATTAAAGACGACCGAAAGAAAACAAAGACTTCACCTTGCAACAAAAGCATCGACAAGGAATACACAATACTAAAGCAACAAAAAGCAAAAGGTAGGAAGAAGAAAATCCAATTTCCCTCTGGAAGATGGTGTTGACTTTTGTTATTTGGACAGTCATAATTAGTTTGGTCTTGATTCAAAAGTTTCTCCTTTATTGGATGTATTTCGGATCTAGCACATGCTGTGGAACATGCTCAAGAATGTTTGCAGTAGTTTACAACTAAGCATAATACATAATTGACACAACTTAGCTCTTGAGTACCCTTTTTTAAAGCAAAGTTTATAATTAGTTTTATTGTCACGTGGTTACAACCTTCTTTATTCATAGATGTTCAATTAACTTATTTTCTTTCTTTTGATTTTATCATTAGATCAAAGGAACAGACTACAAAACCTCTGATGGAACTTGCGTATTGATGTCACTGACTTGGTTGATGCTCATGTTAAAGCTCTCCAAAAAGCAAAACCCCTAAAGTCGGAATCTACAATGTTGGTACCGGGAAAGGTATATTGACTTTGGGTTAACGTTACTGTTAAAGAATGGCATATAGATTTAGAGACTGAACTTTTAAATGTGTTTGTGTGTGTGTGGAGTACCTAGCTCGGTGTAAGAGTTTGTTGAGGCGTGCAAGAAAGCGACTGGCGTTGAGATCAAGATCGATTACTTGCCTAGACGCCAAGGTGAATACACTGAGGTTTATAGTGACCCTAGCTTGATCATGAAAGAACTTAACTAGACTGCTAAGCACACTAATCTCAAGGAGAGTCTTGAGACTGCGTGGAGATTGCAGAAGATGCACCGTAATGGCTATGGCTCAACCTCCTCATCTCTCTCGGTTTATTGACTCTTTCTTTATTCACTTGGTGACGGATGGAGATTGTGATCCTCAGATGGTGTACTGATGAGAGGCTTAGGAGATTATTATGATGCTCTTATATGTAAAATATAAAAATAAGTTATAATATCCATCTTATGAGTGAGACAAAGGCTAGAATTCCAAATGACAATCTATTTGTATGTTATTACAATGTACTTACTTTAATTGTTCATCCTCTTTATGAGGATTATGTAAACTNATTGTGATCCTCAGATGGTGTACTGATGAGAGGCTTAGGAGATTATTATGATGCTCTTATATGTAAAATATAAAAATAAGTTATAATATCCATCTTATGAGTGAGACAAAGGCTAGAATTCCAAATGACAATCTATTTGTATGTTATTACAATGTACTTACTTTAATTGTTCATCCTCTTTATGAGGATTATGTAAACTATACTGAAGTTTAATAAAATAAGTCATCATAAAAAATTTATCTTGACCGACAAGTTTTCAGTTCGTACATTACTATTTCTTACATTTACTGAGAAATTGATCCAGCTTAGGTTATTAAAAATCCAATACCACATTAATAAAAACTTATTTATTACAATACATCAACAGTGTTTTGAAATAAAAACTATAAAAAACTCTTAAATTAGAGAAAACAAGAAAAATTACTTTCTTTGAATTTAAATACTTTCAATATAAAACAAAATCAACAATTAAATATAACAAAAAAATATAAAAATATACAAAAAATCAACAATCTACTCTATTAAAATAGAGTCATTCTTTTAATCTAGTGATATAAGTTGTCATTTAAATTTGGACTCTTTCTAGAGTGTTACAAATAATACAAGTCATATAGTTGATTGAACCGCATTACTTAAATTAAACGGGCAGTTATTTATGGAATAGAGTTTTGGGCTTACTTTTGTATTTATGACAAATTATATAGTTTGAGTTTTGGGCTTAATATTAAAGAAAAACTCCAAAAAAAACATTGAATAAATGTTCTACCTTAATGAATCAAAAAATCAATTATTATTTTAAGGCCCAAAAGTATTTAATATTTTAACGAAACAAAATTATATATTATTAATCACTTATTTAAATCATGTACTTTATGTTAATATATATTTTTTAAATAACAATCACTCTGTCTTGATAAATTTCAATGGTAACTTTGATAATAGTTTTTTTTTCTTAAATAATTTACTACTAGGATAAGACCCGCGCTTTGCGCGGGATGAAGTTATTATTTTTATTATGTTTTGGAAAATGAAACAAAAGTTCGATTTCATCTAGATTAAGGATGTTCAATCTGGATATCGGGTTTCAATATTTTGGTTATTAAAATATAACTACTATTCTAAATCCATATTTACTTCATTTTGATTTGGTTTATATATCGGTTTTCAGTTTATTCAATTTTATATCAAAATACATCATTATTTAGTTTGAAATCATATTATATATTATAAAAATAAATAATATGATCATATTTAGAGTCATATTGTCAAAAAGTCATTTACTAAAAAAATATTATATATTTAACTAAAAGAATAAAAAACAAAAAAGGCTTCTATGATCTAATAAAATGATCAAATCTAGAATTAATATCAAATCTCTAAATTTTGAAAATAAAAATAAAAACAAAACAGAAGCATGAAAGAAAAGTTTTTATATTCTTCCATATTTAGTGTTCATCAAATTAATATGTCTTCGATTGAACACAACACTGTTTGTTTAAAGATTAAAAAAAAATTGTAAAGAATTTCAACTAATTGTTGTCCATTAAATTTATAATTTTTACTTCAATTTAGTTTTTATTATAAAAAAAGAAAAAAGATGAAAAAAGAAAGAAGAAAATAAGAAGCCTCAGTTGCATTAAATTGTTAGTTAATTATATTTTAAGTGATTTACAAATCGTAATTATAGTTCAACCCATGTAACAAATAGATATACATATTTACATGTTTCAGTTTAATCAATTATAAATCAAACCATATCCAAATCTTACGGTTTTTATAAAATCACATACTTTCGGTTTGTATGGTATATACCAAAAATAACCATATTATTGATTGTGTTAATATCTTTAAGAAAATAGAAAATTAAAAAAAAAAGAACTAATATATTTAAATCATTGATAACAAAAATTTTCAATGTGAAAAATTTAATACGTTTATAATTTATAAATGTTCGTTAAAAATCATTGAAATTTTTGAAATTAAAATAAGTATGTAATCTTATATGGTATATAGTTTAATCTATATATATATTTTTTTATTATTGAATGATACTTTTTACTCATATGGTTTTAAAATATGTGTATCTTTTTATAATAAAAATGTTAAACTATTGATCATTAATTTTTAGCATAATAATTTTAATATTTTTAGTAATTTATTATTGGTTTTTTTAAATTCAAAATATAACATATAGAATTAAATTATAGCTAATTTGATTGTTTGATTTATTTTAATAATATAAAATTAAAGAAAAATGATGGAGGAGATACAAATTGTTATCAGATAATTATTATTAGAAACCTTAATTGTCATATATATATATTTTTCATTTATGGTAATTCCGTAACTTTTATTTAAGGGAAGAAAATAAAATAGTAATTATATCTAGCAGGACAATCCTAAATGCTTCTATCATAAATATCATATCATATAGTTTGATCAACAATATCTAGCAACATATAAAAATCGAATGTGGACCTACTTATTTTTCAATTGAATGTAATTGACTACCTAATTGAGTGACACGTAAGCATGAGTTCTTTTTTAATTATTACAAAATTGAGGTTACAATTTTTCAAATGTTTCTCAATTAATATATAGGGGATATTTTTTATTATTGAATGATACTTTTTACTCATATGGTTTTAAAATATGTGTATCTTTTTATAATAAAAATGTTAAATTATTGTTCATTAATTTTTAACATAATAATCTTAATATTTTTACTCATTTATTCTTGGTTTTTTAAATTCAAAATATAACATATACGAAAAAATCTAAAGTTTAATTTTATAGCTAATTTAATTGTTTGATTTATTTTAATAATATAAAATTAAAGAAAAATGATGGAGGAGATACAAATTGTTATCAAATATTTATTATTAGAAACATTAATTGTCATATATATATATATATATATTTCATTTATGGTAATTCCGTAACTTTTATTTAAGAGAAGAAAATAAAATAGTAATTATATCTAGCAGGACAATCATAAATGCTTCTATCATAAATATAATATCATATAGTTTGATCAACAAATATATCTAGCGACATATAAAAATCGAATGTGGACCTACTTATTTGTCAATTGAATGTAATTGACTACCTAATTGAGTGACACGTAAGCATGAGCTCTTTTTTAATTATTACAAAATTGAGGTTACAATTTTTCAAATGTTTCTCAATTAATATTTAGGGGATTTTTTAAAAAAAAAAAATGTAAAGCAAAACTAAAAACCAAATCTAAAAATTAAAATCCAAAACCAAAAACTGAAAACGCATGTTATATTTTTCTTTTGTTTTGTTTATTTACAAAATAAACTATTGCAATTTTTTAAAATAAAAATAGTCATCTTTTCAGTTTTATATTAGATGTTCGATTCTTTGGGATTTGTTTGTTGGTAATTATGAGTTCAAACTAACTCAGCGGATCTAAAAGCTAAAAACCCAAACCAAAAGCTGAAAATCAAAACTATAAACTTAAAAATTAAAAACCAAAAACCAAAATCTAAAACCAAATCTAAAAATAAAAACTGAAACTAAAAACTAATACAAAACAATCATCATCACAAATTTTGGATTACTGATTTTATATCAAAACATACTTTAAATAAAGAGAAAACCTAATTATATAAACTTTTAATCAAAAAAATTTTCCGCGCTTTCAAGCGTGGGTCAAAATCTAGTTAATTATTAAAAGCAACTATAGTCTATAATATTTGATATTCATATAACAAATCAATAATCCCCTTCTTATTATTTGAGGAGAACTTTTAAAAACAAACCTTTACTTAATGTGTTTATTACAACCATGTCATTTCCTACGTGGCAACTTCACAAGCTCTCTCACCCCTTTTAACCAAAAAACCTTAATTAACTAGAGTAATTACATAACATGCCATTGCTGAAAACATTATTATTTACATCATAACGTATTATACGCATAACAATTAATACGTATATGATATATGATATGATATAGCAATGGCAATGACACATTTACTCCATGCCTCAATCGATTTTGTATCATATATGTTAAATGTATTTTTCTATCAACTATTTTATTCACGTGCATATAGAACGATTTTATAATTAATAAACAATTTTACATTCAATTATGTAAGAGTTTCATTGTATTTTTCTACGATATATTCAAAATATATTTCGTTACATATAGGTGCCTATCATATTTATAATAGATGATAAAATAAAAATCGTAAATGCTATCAGCTTATTTCCTAAGTCCTTATTGTCCACTGGTCATATATTTAAATTTTATCATTATATTTAAACATGGTTCCATTCATACTGATTCATACTGAAACGTATGTTATTATAAATACACACATACACTAAGGCATTTGATCAAATGTATAGTAATGAAACATAAATGGAGCCCGTGACATTTGGTATTTGTAATCATATATGAGATTTTCAGTTTTCCTTATATGCATGAGTAGTATTAATAGTGGCTACAATTACGTTCAATCAAAATTAATGGCCGAATCTGCATGAGTATTTCAGTTTCCCTTATATTCATGCGTAGTATCAGTTTCCCTTATATGCACGAATATTTATGAGACTAAAATGAATATATGTACATGGTGTATTGACATTCCTTCGTGTTCTTAATAGAGATGTATGGCATCTTTTTTTATATATATCTCTGTATATGATATTTCTGCATACCTTTCTAAAGTTAGGATTGCCTTTTACCGAATCGACCGACTCACATATGTTAATTATATTTTTAAAAACGAATAGAAAGTTACAAAGTTTGACCATTATAAATTTTAATCTTTCCAAATGAGATTAGCTAATTATATTACTATCCATAATTTGACCGTGTGATTGAGCATTAATAATTGATTATGTAATTATGTATAAAATTAAATTATGTTAGATAATAACTAACATCAATTTAAATTTAATATGTAAAATATGATTATTTGTAAGTTATATGGTTATTTCGTATAGACTATTAGTTATA